CTCTTGATGAGGTAAATATAAGAAGTCATGTTCTAGACAAAGAATCAGACCGAGAGAAATATGCCGGGTGCAAGAAGGCTACTTGGGCCGAGCGCTCCTTTCATATTCAGAATCTAGTGAACATAAGGTCAAAATATCTAAACAATTTTCTTCAACTACAGCTTACCTGCAATCAAGAATGTAAGAGTTTATCTTATGACAAACTGATGCTTTGTTTCATGAGGCATACGTTGAGCTTACTTTTTCCTTAAACAAAGTATTTATTATAAATTTCCAAATCCACATTAGGGTAGAGGAAAAGAAGGAAGAAAGTGATTTCTTTTACAAACTTATATGGTTCACCACAAACGTACATACCTTGGCATTGGTGACCCACAGATCATATATCACAGGCAATTAAAAACAACGTACACCTGTCTTATCACATACTGATTTTCAAATTTACCGAATTAAGTCCCCAAATACATCCAGCAGATGGTGCTCTAGGACACCTACTTAAAGAGAGTAATGCTGTTTGTGTTATATCCACCTATATTTTGGCAAGACAAAGAATAAGGATTTATCAGTAGCTTCAGTAAAACATATTAGGCTTTATGATAGAAAGAACATAATTCCTAAATACGTGCACAAAAATATACATATGCATAAGCACATGTGCACAGAAGCAACCAGTAAATAATTCACACCTGGACATATAATGATACTACTTTTCTTATAGACTGATGAGTAGTCTATGTATATCAGTGGTATTTATAGTCATAAGGCAAGATCATTCTAAATTCATTAAAAAAAAATTTAGAATGCCTTAAAGTTAGAATTCATTTTTAATTATAGCAGGAATGTCTCATTAGGGTGATACTAGTAAAATTAACAACAGTGGGATTTACGGTAATGACTTAAGTGATTGATGAGAGTATAACAAAATGAAGTTTTAGACAGAGAAAAAGCAGGGCAGCTATGGCATACAGTACTTTAAAAAACAGCTCTGTGGTCTGTTAGTGCTAGCCTTATGGTTAATAAAACCTTCTTTCTAATTAATGGTGCTGAAATATTCTTAAAGAACAGAATCTTGTTGTTATGAAGAAAAACTTAAATAGTTGTGTGTGTGTGTGTGTGTGTGTGTGTGTGTGAGCGTGCGCGTTTTTCAGTAGACGCCATTCCCATAAAGGAGAAAGCTGACATAGATTAGCATGTCTGATTGCAAAGAGGAAAAAAAATGCCACCTTTCAATCAAATCAAAACCAGAATGTGAGGATGGAAAACTACTTTACTGAAATACTATATACACAAATCTATGCAACACCCTCACAGTAGGCAAACATTTGTTTCTAAAGCTAATCAACTGTGGCTTTTAAAAAATTACTCAGAAACCTGAAAATATTTAATAAGTATTTACTTTCAAATGCTTAATAAGCATTTAAAGTTTATGATCTAGTAATACAATATAAAAGTAGTGGATAAGAACTATTTTGTAAATTTTCATCTTGCTTATAAGATCATTTCAAAGTTTAAAGTATTTAAATGTCAATTGAGTGCACGGGGGAGGGGGGGTGATTTTCTCCAAAATTTGAAAGTGGATAGTTTGTATAGTATTATTCTGAAGGAAAATTGAGTGTTTCAGGAAAAGCATCCTGGTTCACAAATTCAGTTCTAAAACAGAGTACTAGGGCAAAGGAAGATATGCTTCCATGTAGAAAATACCTTTCTTTAAAATGTTCTTGTTCATTTTATTTAAAAATCTACAACTAAATGGAATTGAATCTTAATTTTTCTTCTGGGTAAGAAAACTGCATTCTACAGGAGGTAACCATCACAAAACAAAAGAATCAAAGATGAGAAACTATCTGTTATTCAGGAAAATGAGGCCTTTGCCACATAATCTAGGCATAGTTTATAAAACATGTGCATCCTTTTAAAAGCCCAAGTTATAGTATATAGGGGTTTTACCCAGTTTGAATTAGCTGGATTTTGCCCTAGCAATGTGTATTTTAATACTGGATAACATGATTTTAAAAAGATAGTAATAAAGCTATAAACTTTACATATAGCACTAATACTAATTTGTAGAAAATGGTGCAGGCTTATGACCCTAGCAAGTAAAAATGGGAGCTTATTCTCATGATTTTTGAAAACAAAACAAAATACTTGAATGAGACCTAAAAAATGCAGAAAAAGCCATAGCATAGTTTTCTTTAACTTACCTATTTTCCTTTCATGAAAGGAAAAAGTCTATATTCAAAATTTTAAGTTGAGACATTGTATGCATTTATAGACCAGATTGAAATTATGTATAAACAAAGCATGGCCATTTCTTAAAGGGCATGCATATTGCATCCAAGAGATACAATATAGGAATAAGCATAACCTAAAATTCCTCATGTGAACAGCTCTGACTTGAGCGGCTGCATCGTGGAGCCATCACGGAGCCAGAGGCTTATAAAATCCGAACCAGCTTGCATGAATGTGTAAAACACAGTTACACGCGCGGTAAAAATGTCTTTGTTTTTGTTTGTCATTTCTTTTGAAAAGCTTAGACTGGCTTGTTCATTTTTCTATTCTAATGTGTGGAAATTCTCATTATATGAAAAAGTGCCTATCTGTCTTTCTCCCAGATTCATCCTTCAAAGCTAAAGCAAAATTAGATTGGGACATCAGACATTATAAAAGAGCCAGAAAGGATGAGGTTCACTTTGAGAAAGGTAATTTAATTTAGTCAAGATACATTACAATTTTCTAAAATTTTTATGAGATGTGCTGTTATGTTATTCTTTTATTTTTTTTTTCTTTTCATTACCAGCGTTACTAGGAGTTAATGTCCACCATACTGCAGACAATGAGAGGGTATAGATGAAGTGCCTTATGAAAAATATAACATTATAATATAGACTCTAATGCCAACAAGATGGTGTTTGTATGTTGATTTATTTGCTCTAAGCATTCTGTGCTTCTGATAACACTTTAAGTCAGTGACTATTGTTGCTTTCATTTTACAGACAAGACAGAAGGACCACAGAAAAGCTTAGAACTTAGATTTGTTTTACTCCAAACTCCAGGATTTGGTCAATGCTACTGGATTCATTTTTTCTAGAAGACATGCATGTAAAAACCATCTCTAGGATGATTTATAAGGTATTTATACATTTCTTCCTTCTGGAAATGTTGAATATTTCTAGTATGAAAATATACTTTAATTTCCGAAATGTAACAGCAATTACATATAGGTATAGATAATAAGCCTCTAGCTACTTCTTGGAGTACACACTGGTAATCATGTGTAACATATAGAACACAAATTAGACCATGGAAGTAAAAATAAAATTTTTTCTTGTGTTTGGATTGCTACATGTGAATGAAACACATTACTTTAAGGCAAGAGAAAGTTCTTCCTGTATATTTTCAGGTAAATAACAAATTATATATTTATTATTTATGTTAAATGTAGGTTTGTCTAAGATAATTTACTGAATCACGGTAACTGAGTTTATAAACACAGGAAAAAAAGAAATTGAAAGGAGACACTCCTAAAAGGCCAGAAATGAAGAAGGAGCAGAATGTGAGGGTCCAATAAGAACATGAAGTACTTTTCAAACGAAAGTGAAAAACAAAATCCCTTAAGTTTACATGTTTAAACATTTTATTGTAATTATGTATAAAATGCAGATGTCTCCGTAAATATGTGAAATACACACATGAACACATTACCCTCCCATATAAACACTAAAGTTTGACCTGATCACAAAGACCATATTATCTAAAGCATCACAAACTTAAAGTTATTTTTAATATTCTATTTGTATAGGGAATTATCCCTGATTTAATTAACACAAGAAATATACATTACAGGATTTAATAAAAATCGTGTTTAACTATCACACAAAACAGAAAAGCATAAACAGCTTTGATAAAATATCTCCCATATACTTCTTTTAAAATTATACACTGGCTTTTGACTGTTTTTACATATTTCACTTTCAATCAAATATTAAACATTTAATAAGCACAGCTTTAAGAAGTCAATCCAAAATGTGACGGAATTAAGCATTTTCAGACTGTCTCATAATTTGGAGCTAAGGGACAGAAGTAAGTGCCATAGCATTCAGGTAAAGCAATCAAGGACAAAATGGTCCTTCCTTTTAACCAAATGTAGTGCAGCTTGCTTTAAATTAAGAAACTGTAAATATTTAAGAGCAGTTAAAATGCTCTACTTTATGAAGTAAAAATCTAAAGCTATTCTTGCAGGAACTCTTCAGTGTTGTCATAATCATTTTAATTAAATTCTCATTTTTCAGGTGGTCCCTTTAATTGTTTTTTCCTACTTCTTAATGTGTTTTTCTAAAGCCATTTCTTTTCTGCAGCTGTGTGCGATTGGTTTTAATGGTAGCTGCTTCCTTTTTTGCCTTCTGTGAATTACAATTTTAAATGGTTACACATTTTTTGTTTTACTGCCTTCAGCATAGTTTCATAAAGATGTTTAAGGCTGTTGGTGAACATTTTCATTTACCATATGAAAAACCAAGAGCCAATTTGAATATTCCATATTGGCCTTTTATGACCTGTTTTATCTTTTAATATGTAAATGAAAGCATATTCTTTATAAAGACTGGTTTGTTTCCATGAAATTATAATTTTTCTTTTGCCCTCCTAAAATATGAATTCAATAAACAAGATAATATGTGATTGCTCTTTTATGTTTTGTCTTGTTCGTGAATGAAACACCTCTCTTTTATTTGGTGACAGCCATTTCCAAAGAAGAACTACCATGTTCAGATCATAACCTGTAACATGAAAAATCCATAGTTGGATTTGAATTATCAATGTTCACAAACTGTTAATAATTGAAAGCCTATCTAGACCTTCCTTAAATTATAACTAAGAAATTAAAACGACTCAATAATTCAGTTTCACTTTCACCACGATGAAAAATGCAACTTCAAACATCACTGTAGAATGTTATTATACATCACTTGTAATAGTTTACTTATAAAATGAGTTGTACTCACTGCCCGGGTTATCTCCAATCCCACTGCTTTTTCCATTCCAGTACCAGAGCAGAAGGGTTGCATCACGTGACCCTGAGAGAATGTAGCAATTTCCCCCGATATAGGACTCAGAACGAGTGAGGCAAGTAACCACATCCCAATGGCCAAATACCACTTGGATCAATTTTCCTGAAATACAAAACAATTTTCTTTAAAGCTGAAATGAAAAAAGATAAGAAAATATTCCAGTGACCATTTAACTTACAAGATAATGAAGTCATATTAACTCAGATTCTGATGATTCAGGATTTATAATAAAATTTGATCTGGTCTAACCTAAAAGTTTTCTCTGAATATTAACAACAAAAAATCAACTGAGCAGTGATAGTAACAGTTTTGAAAGACATATATTAAAACCGTTTCAACAAACAGTATTTGAGGGCCATGATGCCATATAGCATTATGTCCATGGCTACCATAAATAATAAATAAATCATGTCTACTGATTAAAACAGACCCAGGAGAATTCAACAATTTCAGCAATTTCTTAAGTTATTCTGTAGGATTCAAAACAAAATAAAACTTAGGTTCCTTTCTTTAAGTACTTTATAACTTAGACTTTACTAATACAAACTTGTCTCTGAATTAGTAAAGAGTTAATGTATTTTTTTAAAAGTGATCTATACAAGGACCACATAAATCACTCTGGAGAGTTTCTGTGTTTTTTTTTTTTCCAAATTAGAATTACATGAACTAAATTTTGGTAAAAAGACTAATATATTATGATTGCAGTTTGAGCCAGGTCATTCCATCTCTGTTTTAATTGTCTGAATGATGAAAATTCCTTGGGGGCTCATGATGAAATTCAGATAATGGCAGTTTATCTAACATTAATGACTGGGGGTGAAAAGGAGGAACTCTAACTAAACTTACTACAGATCTAGGGTTTCAGACACAGGATGACTTGTTCACTAACAGTGCCAGAAAAAAGAGTAAAGCCCCCACTTTTAGTGCCAGAAAAAAAAGTAAAGTCCCCACTTTTAAAACCTTTGTTTAAAAATTAGGATGGTTTTTATAATTCATACATACTGTCTAAAGAATTAAATAGCTATAGAAGCCCTTCCACTCCATCCCTATGGTTTCTAGCTAAAATTTTCCTTTCAAAAGGTTTACAGAATGTACAGTTGAATGTCAGAGATTATCTGTCTCTAATATTCAGCATAAGTTTTTTTATTTTTGAATAAATGTTTCAGTGGGGTCATATAAATATAATTCAAATATTCAAGAAGAAAGACCACTAAGCTGAAAAAAGATTAATATGCCTTTAAAAGTTTGTGTTTAATTTGTAACACATCATAACCTATTCAAAAGTTTGAGGTCTCAAGTATTGGCATCTAAGTATATTTAACTTTTCAAGATAATCATAAATATAACTAAAAAAGTACTTATGTTAACTTTTTTTAATTCTTAATTTTAATAGGTCTCTTACTTTTTTAAGGTTTTTAATGTTTATTTTGCTTTTGAGAGGTGGGTGGGGGGGGCGGTTGGAGGGGCAGAGAGAGAAAGACACAGAATCTGAAGCAGGCTCCAGGCTCTGAGCTGTCAGCACAGAGTCCAATGCAGGGCTTGAACTCACAAACCAGGAGATCATGACCTGAGCCAGAGTTGGACGCTTAACCAACTGAGCCAGCCAGGCACCCCAGTAAGTCTAATACCTGTTAAAAAGGCTGCAAATTTAAAAATAAATGCTGAAACATAATTTATTTAACTCAGGTATAAGATCAAATACAGTGTTTTCACTCTTGCAGAGAGCCTACTACTAGTAACTTTAAATTCAGATTCATCTCAGGCTCAAATTGCACAACTAATAAAATGCATTTTTTCTCCTGTGAATAGTCTTTAGTTAAAGCTGGTGTTTTAACTGCTAAAGTTAAAAATGTGTACTTCTGAATTTCTTCAACTTTTTAACTGGATATCAAAACATTTCATTTAAAAAATTAATTGTATCGGGCGCCTGGGTGGCGCAGTCGGTTAAGCGTCGGACTTCAGCCAGGTCACGATCTCGCGGTCCGTGAGTTCGAGCCCCGCGTCGGGCTCTGGGCTGATGGCTCAGAGCCTGGAGCCTGTTTCCGATTCTGTGTCTCCCTCTCTCTCTGCCCCTCGCCCGTTCATGCTCTGTCTCTCTCTGTCCCAAAAATAAATAAAAATGTTGAAAAAAAAATTTTTTTTTAAAATAAAAAAAATAAAAAATTAATTGTATCGACAAAGATCAAGAATTCAAGCCTTCTTAGAATAAAAAAAATGGAAATGAAAAGAGCAAATTAAATATGAAAAGATATAATCATTTCCACATCATTTCCAATTTACATGAAGAACAAAGTGGAGAGGGTTAGTGGTAAACTGGGTGGTGTCAGAGTAAAGGCAGGCCTTACAAAGGGTAAGACAAAGTCAGCTGAATGCACTCTTAGTACTAACTGGAAAACTGAAGGCAATGTCAGTGAGTTGTAACCACTGAAAACAACTGAACATACTGTGTTGGTTATGTTTTTGGTAACAGGATGTACAGTTATTTCTGCCTCAGCCTACACCTAAATGTTGAGAACATGTAAACTACAGGAGTAATGTAAATAGATTATTTAGGGAAGGCCTATTTAAGATGTGATGGCCATCAATCCAGTGGGTTGTAGAAGTGAGGAGGGGTTACTACGATTAACAATCAATGGTACAAGAGGAACACAGCGCATGGGAAATCCAAGTGCTTCCAGGAGCCTTGCAAAAAAGCGGCTATTCTCCTGATAATTTACCTAATTTCCAACTCATGTGAGAACAAAGTGTAAAGATTTAGCTGGACAAGTGGGATAAATTAACTATAGTGGCAGAATCTTCCCAGATCCATTTGTTAATTCTAGGGTAAGTCATCACTCTGTATCTATAATGTCAGTGTTAGAAAAATGTATACTCTGTCACTATGGTTCTTTAATTAAAACTTCCTTGTGTTTTAATTTTGGCCCCCAAAGTTATCACAATTATTTTTTATTCAACCAATATTTACTGAGTGCTAAGCATTAGGCCTTCTTACATGTATATTGGTGGTAATTAGACATGATGCCTGCCCTTATAGTATTTAGTGTCTAGTGGGGCAGACAGACATTAAACACAAACATATGTAATTATGAATAGTGATAAGTATTATAAAAAAAAAAACAAGATAGGATCAGTGAGAATAATAAGGTAGAATGAATTTAGATTGGGCATCAAGGAAGATTGAAATGAGGGAGTGATGTGACATTTACATATTTACATCTAAAGCCTTTCATATTTTAATACCAATTAATTTTATTTTCTACAATGTATACTCTGGACTCAACTCTGGAAAACATTATTTTTTTAAGTTTACTTTTTCCTGTTCTGGCAGCCTTCCTCAGCAATAGTTGTTATTGCTATGAGGTTGAGGTTCACTCCTCCTAAATAAATCACAGCATATAAATACCTGCTGCTCTTTTTGGTAAATTATTTTCTGATAATCTCATAAGTGTTCCTCAACCTTTATTTTTTGTTTCCTTTAATACCAGTCCACCTCTCCACACACTAATATCAAATATTACCACAAGCACTAGAATATCCTTTTTTTGACAGAACAAATTTTCTAGTTAATGTTTTATTTGACAGCTGTGCTACAAATAAAAAAAATTCAAGCTCAGGACTCTACACCACTGAATCTAAAATGTGGCCTGAAAATAATTCCCACTGCCGAGGGAAGGTTTTATTGTTGCCTCTGCTGTTCTGGTTGTGTCCCGAAAACATGATTTATGTTTAAAGAATTTCCCGTTACAACCAGTTTCTCTCCCCCACCCCACCCCACCCTGAATCTAATAACGGAAGAATTTTTTTTTTGGCTTATGTGTGAAAATATAATTGAATTCAACACTTGTGATAGCTTTGCTATTATATATTATTGATCATATAATTTTCCCCTTGCTTTTCTGGTAAACCTAAAGGAGAAACTATTTAATATCCCTATTGTCATAAAACATATATTTACTCTAACTGAAGTTACTTTAAATAAAACTAGCATCAGAGTTTGTTTGTATAGAAGATATTAAGAAACATACTAGGACTATCATTTCAGGATTTTTTCATAACTTTTCTAGCAAATGTAAATATTTTTATTGTACAAGCTAAGTAAGTACCACTAAAATGAAGCTTAGAATAAATCTACCACTTATGAAAATGTTTTACATACACACACACTCACATATCCAAAAAAAAAAAAAAACCCTGTAAAGTGGAAGGTTTTTGGAACGAAGAGAAGGAATGTTATCTACTTTATCACGTCTAATGTAACATGGCAGACACAGAGGAACTTAGTGTCATACATTATAGCATTTTCCAAAATTAACCAATATTCATGGGTACGCCTATATGAGATAACATGGTGTAATGATAAAGAATGCTACATCTGAGGTCAGAAGAGCTGGCTCCAATACCAAGTTCAATTACCATTATCTATACAAATATCAAAAAAGTTACTTAACCTTTCTAAACCTCAGTTTTCATCATCTGAAAAATAAGGATGAAGATACCTGTCTTGTCTCTCACAGGACTGTTATGAGGCTGACACAATATCATGTATATGAAAGAATTTTATAAATTCTAAAGAACTCTGTGTGAATGTAAGAGTTATTTTAAATATTAGTATTACATAAAAGTGATTATTACAAATTATATTACAAGTATTAATAGTCAATGCTTTTGAAAAGTGATATGAAAGGTTAGCAAATTCAAAAATACGCAAATGTCAAAACCAAAGACTGACATAATATATGATTCCACTTATATAACATTCTGGAAAATGCAAAATTACAGAGATAAAGAATAGATCAGTGGTGCAAAGCTGAGGCGGGGGAAGAGGCTGATGGCAAAGGGGGGGGGCACAGGGAATTTTGGGGGTGACAGAACTGCTCTACATCTTTATTGTGGTGGTTATGTAATTCTATACACTGCTTAAACTTATAGAACTGTAACCCAAAAAGAATTCATTTTATGGTATGTAAATTATAAAACAATTTTTAAATGTATAAAAAATGATATGCAATCTAAAAGAATGTTTAAGAAAATTTTGTGAGAGGATGTAACAATTTTAATCTGAAAGTTTATGCAAAAGGGGAGCACAATTTGAGGTCAATGATTCTAATAAGGTTGTCATTACCATAACAGTGAAAGAAGAGGTTAAAATTTAAATTCCATTATTAAATCAGAGAAAAGTCACTGTAATAATAAATAATTTTAGGAACACATCAATTCCATTGCATTTTTTAAGAATTCTAGAGGAGTTTTAGGCTCAATAGTAATCAACCTTATAGACCTCAACATGCAGTAAATGCCTAATTAAAGAAAAAGACTAGAATAATGGTATTTTCTTTCTGGACCTACAGAACATAGGATACACATTTTAAGAAAACTATCATCAGTTCAATAAAAAAATAAGTAAGATCTTGGCAAAAACAACTTGTAGGGTCTATTATATGAACAGTATATATTCAACTATTTTTCCTCTACTTTCTCATAGCTATATTACAATACATTCATCAAAATGCATTAGGACAAAATTTTTGAATAACCAACAATTAGTTTTTCAATATATTATACTTACTAAAGCAGAAACTTGGATTCATACATTCTATAAAGATTATAAACAAGACTGAAAAATGATTTACTATAAAACATTTAATTAACTAGAAATTAAAAAAGAATTTCCTATTCTCACATGTAAGTAAGATGTTTGTACATCCTTGTTTTAGTTAAAATTTCTACTTCCGGGGCACCTGGGTGGCGCAGTCGGTTAAGCGTCCGACTTCAGCCAGGTCACGATCTCGCGGTCCGTGAGTTCGAGCCCCGCGTCGGGCTCTGGGCTGATGGCTCAGAGCCTGGAGCCTGTTTCCGATTCTGTGTCTCCCTCTCTCTCTGCCCCTCCCCTGTTCATGCTCTGTCTCTCTCTGTCCCAAAAATGAATAAAAAACGTTTAAAAAAAAAAAATTAAAAAAAAAAAAAAAAAAAAAATTTCTACTTCCACAGTATTATCAAATTCTGATATATTAATATCTAATTTTAATTCTTTCAAATATTCAACTACGTATTTACTATAAATTGATTTCCTCCTATAACAATTTTTAAAATATTTTAAAGAGACTTCTGAATTTCCTATATACAAAAATTTATAGATCTTCTGTAATAATGATGAGTTAAGCTTGGTTTGTCCCTTAGTGAGATACATGCAAATGAATATATACAGTTAAACTTTTATATTTTAATAAGAGCCCCTGTCACACATGAAATCAGTAGTCAGCTAATGTCCTTCATGATGGTGTAGCTTTCAACAATGTTCTATGCAGAATTAAGTGGAGGCAAGATATCTACTACTAAGAAATACAATTAATGAGAAATTCCAGTAAGGAAAAAAAAAGCCCTTTATATAATACAAAAGTGGGAAAATACACCTATAGGTATGTACACCTGCTGTACGATTATGTTACTTACATGCCAGGATACGATTTCAAATGAATCATTCATTCGGTAGGCATGAGGCTTGGAAGACAGACTTACTAGAACAAACTGCCTCTTAAAAGCATGCTGAAGTTAACTTAATAGTGAACTATATTATAGATTTTTACTTAAGAGGGGAAAACAGTGTCTCTTCCTTATGTTACACATTTTAGAATTCTGTAATTTGGGGAAGGAAGAAGATGAGAGAACATTCTAGCCTCTCAATGCTACTTGTAGCTAACTTTAGTTCACTGATGAAAATAAGTTACCTGTGTCTGTAGAGTAGACTCGGAAACTCTTATCCCAGAAGCCACAGATGAGAATATAGCGGTTGTCCGAAGTGATGACAAAGCACTGGGAATGGACTTGAATACTTTGGTCTAAAAGGTCAGTGATTTGCCTCCTGTGCATTCCTGTATTGCTGGCTGTGACAACAGAGGAAGAGACAAAAATCGTACTAAACCCACACATGTACAAAAATCCTAGGGTCTGTGATACTGGTGGTCGGGTTGAGGGAGAAGCATTCCAGGACAAGAATATTTGACCTTTAATTTAAAATGTTAAACATAAACATAACAATATTTGAAAAACAAAACAGGAAAATATATCCAGTTGTTGGAAGAATGTGGGTAGCTAAATTCAATGTCTCAAAAAGAAATTTTGCCTAGAGGGAAAAATAATAACATACTACAATTTCAAAATAGTATACAATTCTCAGAACATGCTTTCTAGCTCTTGGACAAGACCAAACTAGATTACAGTCTCCAGACTGCACCACAGTTAGGTTTGTGCTTCTGACAATCTCATTATGTCCATTGTCATGAGAATGGATTCATGTTGTGACAATCTATTACCTTTTAACTTTTTGTCACAAGAAAGCAATATTAGAATTTAAATGTCATATATGTGAAATATTGTAACATCTTGGAGTACTTTGGCTTTAACAGGTCTTTAATTTGACTAGATGTGAACTCCTTCTTCCCCTGTTTACAGCTGTACTTGCATGTAAGGAAAGGGTAGAATGACTATTTATTAAAGATACCTGTAATTGAAAAAGTCAAAGCACAGCACACTGCCACTTTCTTACTCCTTAAGTAAGCAATAAAACAAGACAGTCTGGCAGTGTGTTTTCAAAGTGCTACAGAGCACCTGATATGGGGTTTGTCACCAGGCAGAAGGTCAGACACAGAGCAACATCAAGCACATAGGAAGAGTAATAATCTTCTAGAAATATACTACCAAGCATGCCATTATCAGAAAAGGAATTTTCACTGAGATGCCTTTCTTGGCACCATGAGGCCAACCAAATAGAAAGCTTTGTTTCCAGTGACCTCAGGGTTATTTCACCACCAACCTTCCAATACAAATAATAGTTTTTATAATAATAAAGAAATTTGATTGTACCAGAAATCATAACAAGATAAATTTCTGCATCTGATCATTACATTCTTTGCATCATAGTCTTCAGTTTGGTTTTTTTTTTTTTTTTTTTTTTTTTTTTTTTTTTTTTTTTTTTTTTGGGTGGGCAGGGGAAACCCCAACCTATAAGTGCATTGATAAAAATAAAAAATAGAAAAATATTCATTGCATGTAATAACTAAGTTAATGTGGCCAATCTAAGAGAAGGCTCAGAAAGTAATGCAGAAGAAAAAAAGTATTCAAAATACTTTCCAGTGCTGTATTAAGAACCACTGGGGATACAGAGAAATCAACTATTCCCTGCCCTCATGGCAAACATGACCTACCAAACATATGCATAGACATAGTGGAATATTCTGCTAGTGTCTGTCTATACAACTTAACCAAGGGAGATTATTAGATAACTATTTGATAATAGGCTTCATATTACTTTTGGGGGATTAATGAACTAGAAAGTGACAGCAGCAGTAAAAAGGGCAGAATTCTATTTGGGGATCATTCTTTTGCCACCTCCTTCCCACACAAAGGGAAGCTGCTGGCAAATAAGAAAAGCTTTTATAAGTACCATAGTACATTACAGAGAGACAATAGTATCCCACTGCAGTGAAGCTGTATGGTACAACTTAGATTTTTTTATTCCAAGAAACCTAGCAATTAAAGACAAGGCACGTAATACTTTCTATACTGGTTACTACAGTACTTCATTCCACATGAAAACTGTAAAAATGTTTATTTGTTACCATTTATATGACTTTTGCTTCTAGGATATAAACTTTCACTGGTCTTTTTTTTGGGGGGGGCATGATTTCTGGTGGGGGGGAGGATCTCACTTCACAGATTTGGGTATGTGCATAAATTTTAATTGAGAGACCACAAAGTACCCATGAGTACAGGCTGATGCCCCTTCAGCATTCAGATGAACTATTTTCCAAGTAAGTGCTTGCCTATAATTTAATATTGCGACATCCATCCATCCATCCATCCATCCATCCATCCATCCATCCAATCTATTTAATCTATCTATCTCACAACTGCTTCCTTTATCTCATTGTCTCCCAAGATTCAGTACTGAAGGTGTTTTTATTTAATGAAGATTAGGTGTATTTGTCCAGATAAGCATTCTTCAAACTGGGGCATGCACACTCCTGGCAGGAGGGTGGTATAAGATTTCCCAAAGGATAAACAAGCACAGATGGTTTTAAGGGAATCAATTTCTAGTTTCTCAACTTTTATATGTTCTCTTCCCTGAAACAGCTTTGGCTGAGAACTCTCCTGTGAGTTTTCTTCTCTTATGACCCTTTCTGCATGCTCTTCTTCCACTAAATAAAACAAAGGCATATTTCTTTTCTATCCAGGATCTTACTATAATGCCTTATCTGGGTATGAAAATCTCTTGAGATGCAAATAAAGGGACAATTCAAAATACTGATGTGAGGCTGCAAAGTGGATGCCAAAGTATCAAATCATTCTGTAGGGCTGGTGGTTTCCAATTCATCGCTTTCAATAAAATGGAAGGAGGATCTAATCATGATGTCAATTGATAGATCGTTAAAAATAAATTTCCAATGATAGATTGTTAAAATGATCACTTAATGACAGACCATGAAAATAATTCTTAATAACAGATTACAATATAAATTTTGTGACATAACTCAGAGTTCAAAGATTTCAGAGACACTGTGAAAACAAAATTCTTTCCTTTCCCATCTATTTTCTCATGTAGGTAACGTGCCTCAGAGCTTCCATCTACTAAAAAAAAAAAAAAGAGGATAGAACCATTGACAAATCCTGTCTCATTCAACAACAAATAATGTTCACTCAAATACATGAGCAAATGGGGAATGGAGGGGCAGGGGGAGGAGAAAGCCCCACCCATTTCATTAAAGATGTATTTCTAATAAGTGTTTCTTTTTTATGTTTAATAATGTTTATTAAAAACTATAATTTTAATAAGTGTGTAAAATAATATTTGTAATGATAACTCAGTGTACATTATTTCTTACAAAACTGAGCCTTATGGTCATAGGAAATTTTAACAATTAACTTACATACATTTGTTTAATTTTCTATATATTTTTATTGCTGAAAAGTATTTGCAATAAAGTAACTTTTTGAAAAGTTAAAATTGTGTAGAAGAAGTGGAATTAAAATATAAATTTAAGATGAAAAAAGGATAATACAGTATTTTCAACTGTTAATAGCTTTTTATGCATTTTTTAAAAACAGAAAATTTTGACTATTAATTCACTTTTATATTTAAATTCCATTGGATAGATTTAAAATTTTATATATTATATATAATACATAATATATATATTTACATATATACATAATGTATGTGTACATAATACATAATACATAAATATATATACATATATTTGCAACTATCGAAATTTGTGCTGAAAACTTTCTACATGCTACTTTTAAAATATGTGGGAACTTTAAAACTTTAAAACTTTAAAACATGCTACATTTAAAATACGTGGGAAGGCACATGGTTTTAAACAATTATTTTAGGGGATATAGGAGCAAACCGTTAGATGACCAATGATCTATAGTAGAGAAGAAAACTATGGCCTGTGTCTGGTTTTATATATAAAGTTTTATTGGAACACAGAAATGCTCATTTGTTTATACATATTGTCTTTGGTGGTTTTTGTGCTATAACAGAAATAAGTAGTTGTCTATGAGACCTTATGGTCTACAAAGCCTGAAGTATTTACTATCCGGCCCTTTATCAAAAAAGTTTACCCATGCCTAATCTAAAGAATGACAGTTGCTGAACTCATTTAATTAGATTTGCCTATAGGATATTCACTGTCAAGTTTTAAGGCAAAGAATGATTCTATACTTAATAAATAATGCTTGTAAAGGACTTATCGAATGGACTTTATTTTCCTGACTTTTAAAACTTTACCCAAGTGAACATTTTATTTTTTAATATATGGCAAATCCTATGTACTCAAAGCAAAAGATTATTTAGGAATCAGAGTAGTATTTATCCTTCACATGGATAATTACTTCTTACATTTCCGCTTCTATGTGGGGAATGCCAAATGAATTAGTTTTGAGCTTAAGGTTAGTTTAGTTCATCTTGATAGCTCATTTGCAAGTGGTAGCCACGTAGCTCTCTACTGAAACAATAGTTTTAAAGACAAAAAAAAAGGTGACATACATATAGGCAAGACCTTGGATTTTAAAAGAATAAATCAGCGTTTTCATCTGCTCTATGTGAAAACTTAAAAACTGTAACAAATTTATGTGCCAGGGAAACTTAACAAAATTATAAGCTAAACATCCACAATGGTAGCACACCCCTAATAACTAGGCAATTAAGTATTTTATTCTGAAAGTGATTGAAATAGCATCTTTAATAAGACATGTTAATAATGTTACTCTCAGTAAAGCCATGTATGAAATTCCCACCCATAAGAATGAAAAATGCTAAACTAGAGATTTTGCCTAACTGACTCAAAAGGCACAGAAGCAATTAAATATTCTAAGTCATCTGCTGCAGATGCTCATTTCATCCCAATGGCTCTTTCTGGTCTCCTCCCTTTTCTTTTTTCCCCCTTGAACAAATTTAACCTCCAATGGCAATTTATTGGGCTGTAGGACCATAGGAAAATGAATACAAATATCTTAACACTGCCATTGGCCGGGCAATATATTTCAACTTTGAAACTGCTCTGCAATTGCACATTAATCCCCTCACACTGAACAGAGGGTCCAGGAAGAAAGGATTGATCTCCTTTAATGATGAAACCCTGGCACTACAGTTTTATTTTTCACAACACAGTGCTGCTAAGAACCCCACTGTTATTATGAAAATTTCCCTAGCAAAGGAGCTCCATCACATTACCGGTGCACCAATTCATCATAACGTGCCTCGCTCCTGCTCATCAACAAGTCTGAGTGATGAAAAGATCCAATATTATCCTGACAGTACTTCATGCGCATTCTCAATCACACATTATTACAGCATCCATATTAATTTTCAGTGACACGCGTCCTAGGCCTGTTCAAATTAGGCAAACCAACGAGGGGGAGTTGATGAAATACCAGCATAGCCACAGCTCATTGCATTCCAATTTGCATGCAAATGGTTTATCAGGAAAATTCCATTCCCAGCAACCAGCAAGTGAAAAACAACTGTAATCTACACTTCAGGGCCACCATACAGAGCTTAATGAATCGCAAAGAGAGAAAGAAGTGACAGACCTATGAGAGGATCGATTTCCACTGGCAGCTGGTATGGCTGGTCTTGTACTGCACCTTGATGAGCTGGAATTCACAAAAGATTAAAAAAAAAAGCATTATTTTTCATATACTAACCTACATAAAAATGCATAAGTCAAATCTTATGTAGAACTGTTTCCAACCTCTAAATCTCTCATACACTTTTGTGAAATTTAAGGGAAAAAAATCCAGGTGCTTTCATGGCTAGCTTATTAAACATTTATTTTAGATTAGTGCTGTTCTGAACATGTGCCATCAGCAGTGGCTCCAGTCCTGGGCCATAAGCTATAGCAGATGCTTGACTGGCAACCTCTGATGCTGCAACAAAACAAAATTAAGTGGTAAAGCGCGCTGAAAACAAAATGTGACAACCATCTGCTGACTGTAGCAAATACTATTTTTTTGTTACTTCTTAAAAAGGCAGTTTTGAATGCTGCAGCACAAAGGATCCACAAAAACGTCAATTTATGATGGAGGAAGGGAAAGCTCTAAGTCAGGGAACATTTAATGTTTCATCCATCACTTAAAACCAATCAATTGAAAGTTTGAATAAAAATAAAGAAAGCTATCCACAGATAAATGTTTTAGTTAAATGCATTTGGCTGAAATACTTTCTTAAAGACTGGATTGAGGTTTTTAAGAAAAGTTTTATTAATATTTAATATTTCCATGGTTTCAATTTAAAAATACTCTGAGAAACAAATGAATAACAAAAATCAATCCATGCTAAGAATAGTTTGTTCAATTCTCAAAATGGTTCTGAAGATTCCTGCATACTTATTTTGTAATTGAGAAGAGATTTTGTGGGCTGTTTCCCTGTGAAAGGTAGGACTTAAGGTAAAGAGGAAGTGTGCTAGGAAGCAGGAGCCGCTGCTGGCTATTTACGGAGACTTAGGCAAATAGCAACTTGAAACTGAAGGGTTTGGAAGAGATGATCTTTTCAGCTTTATAATTCTGATAGTTAAATCCTGGGCCCCTGTCCAAATTATTTTCCCCAAATGACTCAGTAATTCACTCGGGTCAGTATCTCCCTTTTATAGACTCATAAGCATTTAAACTACTGTTTAGTTGGTATTAGAACTTTGCTTAACACCATCATCACTTAGGAAATCTTTCTGACTGTCCTTGAGGGGCTGAAAAGAAAAATGGGGTACATTCCAATGAGTTCATCAGATTATTTTAAAACTTATTAACATCATTTCCCCTGTTAGCAAATACCAACTTTTCAAGGCGGTTTCGAAGATCATTAATACTGATAAAATATCTGGGTAAGTATAATATTAGCATTAAAAATAATTATATTTGGGGCGCCTGGGTGGCGCAGTCGGTTAAGCGTCCGACTTCAGCCAGGTCACGATCTCGCGGTCCGTGAGTTCGAGCCCCGCGTCAGGCTCTGGGCTGATGGCTCAGAGCCTGGAGCCTGTTTCCGATTCTGTGTCTCCCTCTCTCTCTGCCCCTCCCCCGTTCATGCTCTGTCTCTCTCTGTCCCAAAAAAAATAAATAAAAACGTTGAAAAAAAAAATTAAAAAAAAAATTATATTTGAGTATGTATAAGAAATTAAGGTAGCTGAAGAAAGGAAGCTGTATAACTCAGTCTTTTTTTTACTAAAGGTATCGTCTTTGCTGATTACTGGCTCTGCCAGCAAAGAGATCACAGGACACATATAGGGAATGTTCAGGGAAAATGCACCAGAGCCTCTGATTTACCCAACAGTGCCATTTACTTCCAGCGAGACCAGTGCTGATCAACACTAATACCTTGATCATTTTTCTCTACTTCTCTGAGAATCTGGGATCTCAGAAACATTAAAAGACACACTATCACTGAAAGAGGTTTAGGAGGTTAACTATCTTTGGTTGGGCCTCAAAGACAGTTGCCTGTGTGACCTTGGGCAAGTTTATATAGCCTCTGTGTTTCAGTTTCCTAATCTGTAAAATGGGTTAGACTGAACAATATGAAATTAATAACACCTGACATTTTGACTTGTAAAGACGGTGATTTCATGGGTCAACCTAAATGTGGAACCTACATCCCAAGGGATTGAGGGGATTCAGTGAGTTAATATGTGTAAAGAGATTAAAACAGTATCCAGAACCTAGAAAATGCTCTTTAAATGTTAGCAGCTATTCTTTCATTTCCCGCTCCCCCCCCACCCCGCCCAGTTCCTGTAAGGCCCTATGAATGAGAAAGAAAAATAAAGATGACTGTTTTCTTTTTAAATGAGGACACAGACACTGCTGAAAGAAATGATAGGAGCTAGCTTTCTAGTGAACAAACTATGGAAATCATAGATTCTCAGAAAAAAACAAGAATCTAAATTTACAAATAACAGCATAACATGAATTTGATTTTCATTGAAGAAAAACTGTTAAGGATTTCTGACATTCTTCTGCCTGACATTTGTTTTAAATCAAGGTATATCAAGGGAAGGTAAAGGTAGAACAAGATACAATGAAAAATCAGATTTATATAAACATACTTGGAATGAGACATAGATTTAATAAAATGGATGCTTAGCATTTTTAGGTACAGGTGTAAGCTCAGAATTGGAGAACATATTGTAGAAGGATAACTACCTGTGTATTCCCATATATATTTATCTGGTGAGGAGCTGCTGTGTCATAGTGTAAAGCCAGAGGGTGGGGACAAAACCCATTAGTGACACAAGATACAGACACAAAGGAGGCTCATTGGAGAGAATTACAGGCAAAGAATTGGCAAAACATATGCTGTCCCCCAAGCTCTTATTTTACAGAATGGTGAGCTTGGGATGGGAACGGTTGGGTGTACCCTAAGTGGCACTCCAGCAGAGAGATGCTGCCCCTAAATCAGTTTACATATCTATAGAAAAAGTGGAAGTAGGGAAAAGAACACCTGACAGCCAGCTACTAAGGCAAGCAAGCTTTCCAGTCCAGGAAATGGGCCTGCTCAAAATGGGAGTGCCAGGAGCTCGTCATCAGTGCTTTTGGAGTGTACCTAACAACCTGAGTTATCAGTTGGAGACCTAGTAGCCCTTTGGATGAGCCAGTTCCTGCCGAGCTCATTCTTTGCGAGGCTCAAGTCAGCAGCAGAGAGCAGCCAGGGCTTTCCAGCAATTGAAAAGGTTTTTCTCCTCACATATGCTGTCACTCTGTTTAGACTGAAGAAGTTCTCAGAGCTGCCACACACAGCCACTCAGGATAAGCATCCTTTGTGCTGGCCCTGACACCACACGCACTGGTGCTTTTGCCAAGCTAAGAGTAACTGCACCCAGCGTACGGAATCCTCTAATGTGGTTGACAGAACCCACCACCAGCATGTTTTTCCTCTAACAAATGCTTTTGAGAGAATACAAAAATCACATTTGTTAAATTATAATCTTTAGTCCCAAAATATAAGTATGTCATCTACATACACATTTATCACTATAAGACAAGTTCACTTGAAGAAAAAGGAATAAAAGGACCTAATAATGGAGACAATTATATATACCTCGATTTTTACCTTCTCTACTTTTCCTGAAATCCATTCTCTAATCAAATACTGGCATTCATTTCCTTTCTAATAGCCAGGCAATGGCCATATTTAATAAATTCTGATACCAATCACAGATTCTTCATGATAAGTACCTTATTGAGCATAGTCAGTGCACCAAGTTTTTGTTTGAATGTCAATTCAATTCTGTTCCATTCTAAAAGCTTTTGCATTTAATTTGGCATGAGGCCCTGTTCAAGAATTTATATTTTTGCAACCAGCTCAGGTTTTATAATGAGCAGTACTTTATGCACACTTTACAGATTTAATGACAAGTTAACAGACTATTAAAATCTTTTACATTTTCCCACCTAAAACAATGGCTTGGAAAAAAAGCCTATAATCGTCAGGACTTTAGAAGATTTTCCTTCTTAAAATTAGAATTTCTAACTAGTTGCCAAAAAGTGCTAAATCCAGATCCCAACATTCCTGTTCTAATGAGAGGTAATAAATCATAGAGGGGTGATCATAAAATTTGAGTCAGAAAACTTGGGTTCAAACATGGCTCTGCCACTGACTGGCCATATGTGATACTGAACAAGGCAAGCTCCCTGGGGCTCAGTATCTTCATTGGTAAAACATGGGACTGGATTAGATGTACTCTCAGGTCTCCTCAAACACTGGTTTATGTTTCTAAGGGTTATTTGAGTATCTTGCTGTTAGTTACCCCGACTATTCAACATATAATGGAAAAACAGAATGTACTTATGGGTTTGTAGTACTTTGACTGTGTAACTTAAGTGTTCTTTTTTTCTGTCATCCATGATAAATAATATGATGTTATGCACAAAAAGGCACATAAACAGGCAATCAAAAGTGTTTATCGAGTAAACCCAATAAGTGGAAAAAAGGAGAACATCTGATAAATAAATATAAACTGCTTATGGACACAATATAGAATATCATTATATTAAGATATTAGAAATAATATTTACCTACAAGGAATAAAGACAAACCACCACATGCCAAAGAATAGGTGATGCTTTAACATTTGTATTATATACCGCAGAGAGGACTTCTTTAAGCCTTTCAAACTAGTAAATATTTTGATTCAGACTAACGCTGGGAAATTGAAAAGCTCAAATGTTGAGATATTTACGTGTATATTACAATATCTTTATACAGTGTGCAGCAGTTACAATGCATTATAATGATACTTCTTTACTTACCAGGAAGGTTGTGCCACTTGTTCACCGCAAATAGCCTGTTAGCAGTGACTGTGATCACAGCAGGAGTCGCCAGACCAGGCTGGGTGTTAGCTGCCACATGAGTGACAGGGGAGTTGGAGGGAAACTTTAGGACCATGATAACATCCTGCTGGGCTTGGTCTGTGAACATCAATGGACTCTGCAGGAGGAGATACTGTTGAGTGGGCATGACAAGACCCAAATATACAAGAAGGAAAAGACAAAGAAAGACAAGAAAGAGAGAGGGTGCAGGAAAAGAAGAGGAAAGACCATGTTAACACAGGTTGCAGCTGAGAGCATGGTGAGCAGAAAGGTTTATAGAAAGAGCAGTTAGGATGGCTTGTTTTTCATGTATGTCATGAGTTGAATGTTTTAGTGACTGAAGTAGAATACCTTAACAGAAACCTTTTAAAAATCCATAAATTTTATTAGCTCCCTTCCCTACCCCACTCCCATGAAGAACTAAAGAAATGCTTTTATTTAGATTCTAAGTAGGCAAAGTATTGGGGATTGCATTAAACCATTCCAATTGCTATAGTGTGTCACGTACAAAAAAAAAAACAAAAAAAAAAACCAGAATGAGGATAGGTAACAGGTACAAAAGCAAGGCAAGGTAATTTCCAAAGATCGTCAAAGTTGTGTTGAGGTAGCATGAAGATCTTTGACAACTAAATAAAGAGATAATTAAAACATATATTTATAAACAACAATTATACACATATATGTATTATTACAGTAGGGAAATAACTTATGAATGTAATATACAAACTTAATTATAAAGGTGTTTCAAAGCAATGCATAATTAAATGCACTTGTAAAAACAATATATTTATATAGTGTACCCAGTCATAAACACTGCCCTATTATAATGGAAATGCTACTGTTTTCTATCACTAAGGATAAAGAGAAATAACTAGATGCCCCTCCTCTCCCTTGGTAAAAAAACAAAACAAAACAAAAAACAAAACAAACCTAAAGCTCAAGACTTCTGATTTCTCCTTTCCAAAGCAGCAAGTAATTGAAAATGTTAAACAAAAATCACTGTCTGTTCTAATAACTAGCAACAAAATAAATCTTGAAAACTACTAAGGATTTAGAACATTCCTACAACTCATATGTCATAATCCAAGACATATATAACAGCACTCTGATTTACTGGCTTTATTTATATGTTGTGGTGGTATGCTATCACACAGTAATTGCACTGTACATTTTCAGCAACCCTCTTCTACTATGTCTATTTTCTAATAGCTGATTAGTATCATTCACAATTGAAACACTTTGATGAAGTGCTTCTGGCTGCTTTCCTACTGCCATATTTCAAAACACCAGGTATATGTAAATGTGTAGGCACATATATTTAACACATATTTATTCAGAACTGCTAATAAAAAATTAAATACATTTGCATTTTTATTATCAGTCCTTTTAAAAAAGTTATTAAGAGTACTTAGAAAAACATATTGCACTAAGAATTCCTATTTGCACTCTTTGCATAAAGGTGTAAATAAAGGCAACTAATAAGCTACCCAGACACCCTTCTGAGCAAGTGGCTAAAAGCCAATCAATATTATGAGTTAATCCTCCCTGGATGCTCATTCAATTAAAGGTGTCAGTAATGCCTCATCTGATGTGGCCTCAATTAAATCCAACTATCTGATGGTGTGAAAACACAGGGGGATACAGCAACAGCAGCAAAACCAGACAAATAGGCAGCCTTCGTGTGCCTGCTAATTACTACACCTGGTGTATATTATGGCTCATGCACTTAACGCAGCACGAGGTGGCTTTAATTTCTGCTTTATTCATGTGTGTGTGTGTGTGTGTGTGTGTGTGTGTGTGTGTGTGTGTGTGCGCGCGCATATGTGTGTGTGATGGGGTGCACTGACAGTTGATGGTGGGGGAATTCATCTGAATGGCAGTAAAAACAATAAACATTTGGGCCTCTAATTTTTAAAACCTGTATATCAATTAGTATTTTTTGTCATACAAAGAACCTTTTATATAGTTTTTAAGGAACTCTGTGAAATTGGGTAAAAATGAGAAACAATGAGCAACAACAAATACAATACCCTACAAGCTAGTTTTAAAGAAGTCTGGGAAAAGGAAATGAACATCATTTTGGAGTACCAAGCCTTATTTTTCAGTTATGTAGTTTTTTTAAAAAAATAATATTTACTAAAGTTAATTTATAAACTCTGAGAAAGTCAGGGTATAACATACATCATAAAGTCTCACTGAAAGGAAGTTGACAGTTATTTTTGAGCTTAACAGTTCATATTGTAAATACAATTAAACCGAAATTGAATAATTCCAATGTTTATGCCCTAAAAAAAACACAGAAAAATCTCTAATGTGTTGGGAGAGGGTCTTGTTTACATAGTGACTCTAGTGGGCCAACTTTTAGCCACATGGCAAGGACAAGCTACTTTCCACAGAAAGCCACAGACATCATATCCCGAACTGTGCACTACATTCTTACAACAAGCTGTCCCTCCAGTCTGTTCTACATACTCCATATTGACTAGTGCTCCCAGTGCAGGCAAGGAGGAGGAAACTCTTGGGAGTTCCATCATATCCTTGGTTGGTTAAGTATGGAATAAGGAGGACTAGGAATAAGAGAAAGCACATTCCAGCATACTGGGTTAGTCTGCAGTGATGGCAACAGCTATAGATGAGGACAGTTGGTAAAACAGGAATCAGAGAAACAATCCTTCATCTAATCAATCCCGGGAGCCTCCGGGAGTCAAGTTTGAGGCAGAAGTAGGAAACTGCTCACCAAATTTCATTCAGATTTCCCAGATTAAGTATGCACTTGTTGACGACTCTGGTTTCTTTCCAACACACCTTTGTTTCCCACCCACAATGTGTAAGATGAAAAGCACAACTTGTACAAGTCTGGAAAGGAGTTCAGGGATTCAATTCAGAGGACACAGATAACAGCAAAGACTGTACCCGATCCTATATGAGCATGTGCCTTCCTACCCTAGAAAGCTGGTCTGCCGCAATGAATCCTTTTGCCATGTGAGAGAGGCTTGGAAGTAGGAGCTCCTTCCTTGCCCCGGTGACCAAATCTGTGCAGAGACCCAGGTAGAAAGTCACTGGAGCAGTGGAGGTGTTTCCATTAGCCAGTATCATGATATCCCGAGTCTCACTGACAAGCTATTACTAAAACTAATTCTAAGCCACAAACATAAATCATTCTTACTATTTTTATGGCATTATCTTCCACTATTCTTGCTAAATGTTTGCTCTTTGTATAATCTTCTGCTTACTGGTTACCCCTTAAGTTCCCTTGAATCTGATTTCACCTATTTAAAAACAGGGGAAAACATGATGCAAATAATTTCCTTTTAATTTTTTTAAAGTTTAATTACTTTGAAAGAGAGATCAAGTGGGGTAGGGGCAGAGAGGAAGAGGAGAGAGAATCCCAAGCAAAGTCTATACTACAGGCACAGAGCCTGATGCAGGGCTCAAACTCATGAACTGCGAGATCATGACCTGAGCTGAAACCAAAAGTCGGAGGCCTAACAGACTGAGCCACCCAGGCACCCCATGATGCAAGTAATTTTTAAAATGCTTATAGTTTATTGTGATGGCCAATTCACACCTAGAGAAAGAAGGGGAGAAAGGTTTGGAAGGAGAAAGATGACAAAGAGGGCGAAAAGGAAAAATACACAAGGAAGATGGTGGGATGGAAAGACAAAGAAAAAAAAAAAAACAAACAGCCAGAAGTGAAAGGGCCGCATCTCTATCTCTTGCTCTTTGCTGCGACTGTCTCCTTCCGAGTATTGGTCAAAATTCTACCATCTCCAGCTCCTGATTCTGGGCTGGACCAATAAAGTGTGGTGTAAATGATGTGTGAGAGCAAGCTTCAAGAAGTCTTGCAGAAGTGTTCTCTTGGAACACTGTTCCTACTGTGGAAGTGGCTTGGGCTAACTTCCTTGATGATGAAAGACCACATGGAAACAGAGGTCTGGCCACCTCAGCCCACCCTGCAGCAGTGCATGAGGGAGCCAAGGTGAGAAAAGCAGAAGTGCCTGCCTAACCCTCAGAATCACGAGAAATATAAATCACTGCATTAAGCTTTGGGTGGTATGTATATCAAACCATCTTTTCTTCTCTCTGCAATCCATTATCCTTAGTAACAATATCCTATGTACTAGGATTAGTTCTAAAATTCCCAAACTGAAAAACATATTGGGATGTAAAGAACAAACACATTAGCAAAACTAATCTAGAAACTCATAGGATCAAATCAGAAAACTCATCAATCCTATGTCTGGAGCCATTATCCTGCAGTGAGGATATGTGACAATGGTAAGTTTTTTAATTCTTCAATGCAAAACATGAGCTGATGAGATAGGAGAGCACTGGAGCAATGTTTATGTTCCCAAAGACTCCAGAACAGCATGTACTAATATTTGCTGGTTGTTAGTAGGTTGACATCACATAAAAAGAACAGGCTCAGATGTGGTAGGGAATCTCAAGTACAACAAAACACTGTTATGAATGTCAAGTATGGTCTCAGAGGCAAGAAATGAAAAGAGTGTAAGCAGCACTTACCACTTGCATAGCAGAACCTCTGGGAGGATGGGGCTCTATGAGTAGTTGAGAAGGTGTCTGTCCAAAACTTCGGATTTGAGCTTCAACAGCCTGAAAACGGCACGGGCAAGTTTGAGGGTTAAGAGGTACTAATTATAGGCAGTAGAACCACAACTGTCACCTGAAAATGTCATTCCATACTTCTGGCTTGTTTCACATTGAAAATCAACTTTGTGTTTTCACAGTGGGTCTAAGCACCTGGCAAGGGCACTGAGGGTGAGGTCATCCTTTAGTACTGTATAAGCTGTTCCTATAAAACCCCGTGAAACCTTCTCATCTTGCTCAGTGATATGAAACAGAAACCAGCTATTACAATCAGAAATTGTCCTTTTTGGCTTCATCTCTGTTTTCTTGCATTTTTTTTTCTCCTGCTTGCATCATCCCTGATGACTAAAGCTAATCTTTTACAGGTATAGAGAAAACCTATTGCTGCTTTGATTCTAGGCCCCATTTCATCGTGGGAAGTAGAAAGGAGGAAAAAAGAAACATAGCACCTGTGAAAATGGCTTGGTGCTATTATTTTTGCCATAGAAAGAGCATTATTGTTGACAGTCTCTTTGAACTTAGGTGGCTAAACAACAAAGTAAAAGCCATATGTTGCATCCAAGCATGAGACAGTTAAAACAGGGACTAACTAAACATAAGAAACATGTGCATGCTCTTTCTGAAAGATGTGTACATGCACCCTTTGCAAGGCAATCCCTTACCATGGATCTTCCTGTACACCTAGCACAGATGCTCACTTCCCAATCACCAACAACTCCTTCATCATGGGAAACTACTAAATGCCAGATGCTATCACTATCTCTAATTACTTTATTTGTTTACTTGTTTATGCCTGTCTCTTCCACTAAAATACAAGATCTATGAGAGCAAGGACCTGATCTATCTATCTACTTTACTGTTAGATCCCTAAATTGGGTGAATGATATATAGTACGTGTGAGGAGACAGAAGGAAGCAAATATACACAAAGACTCTCTCAACGCCATGACAGTATTCTGAAGTTCCAGGTTAAATGAATGAGGAAAACTTCTCAAATTCATAAGAGAATATATGTTCATCATGTTATTTTTTTAATCCTTAAGAAAATAAATCCTTAATTTTTATATGCTCTGTAGGACTACAGGCAATTAATATTTCATAAACAAGGAAATATAATCATTATCCAGGATTAATTTCCTTTTTTTATTCATTGAGGATACCACTCGTAGTCCTTTACAGTGAATCTTGTAGGAAACAATGACAGCAATTCATTCATTTATGCGTTCAATAATCGTCAACTATGCACATAGCAGTATTAGGTCTCAATGTTTCTGTCCTTGAATGCATTCCCAATATAGGAAGCAGGGCAAATACACTCAGAAGGTTATACAGTTGTTTCAATGAGTTCAAGGAGTGCTCTATCATTTGCTTAGGCAGAAGAGATTGGAAAACACCTTTGTGAAAGCTGAGTGGTATGGTGGAAGATGGGTTTTGAAGTTAAACAGACCATGTTCAAATCCTGAATACATACCACTTATAAGCTCTGTGATCTAGGTAAGTTATTTAATAACCTAAGTTTCAATTTTCTCTCATGTAAAATGTAGACAATAATAGTATCTACAACATGCTATATTAAGAATTAAATGATATTTACATAAAAACCATAGCAAAATGCTTGGTATAGATTAGACCCACAATGTGCAGTCAACAAATATTCATTAAGGGCTGATAATACCAACAAATATTTATTTAGTACTTACTATTTACCAGGAGTTTTTCTAAGTGGTTTACTATCTTTTATCAGCTAATCTTTAAACTATATGATGTGAGTCCTTTACTATACCCATCTTATCTATAAAGATAAAGAAAATAATGCACAAAGAACTTAAATATCTTGTCCAAGGTCATATAAATGGCAGACTCAAAATTTGCACCTAAGCAGCATGATTCTAAAGCTAATACTCTGGGCCATTAAGCTATCCTTTCTTCTTATCTTTTAGGTACTATACCAAGGTCTAGGGTACAAAAAGACTGAGCACCAAAAAGCAGGAGCCTACAATCTAATGAATGAAATAATAAGTTATCTCTATCATCATCATCATCATCATCATCATCACCACCATCATCATCACCATCATCATCACAAAGTATGTTCAGACACAGTTAGTAAAGTAGCACAGCTAGGCAAGTTTGGTTTTAATAGCAGGAGATAAGACTGTTGTTAGACTTTAGAAACAAGAAAAGGAGCCAATAGGGAGCAAGGAACAGAGACTAGGATCATTTCAGAACTTCTAAAATGGTTTTGATCAGTGAAATCAATTTATGATCAACATCAGGACAATCTTGAAGAAGAAAAAATATCACACCGTGGGAGAGCTTGAAGACCAGAGGCAGTCACAAAGAAACAGGTGGGACTGCTATTTTATGATACACTGATTTATGGACAAATAGGAATGTGAGTTTTAAATTTCTTTTAAGAAGAGTTGGCAAAACCAGTGCCATTGCCCTTGACTGTTGCTTTTGGTGGTCCCTGCCCAAAGGCCCTCATGTCTTTTTTCCTATTTAAATAAAGTAGAGGGAGGAAGAGATAACTTCCATACTTGGCCTGTGGCATCAGATGGCTAAGAGTGTTAATCTGGACTTTGTCATTTATCTGCTGTGTGATTTAGCTTAATCTCTGTTCCTCATCTACAAAGTTGAGAACTAATAATACCCAGTTCACAGAATCATTTAAAAAATTAAATAATACTTACAAAGTATTTAGTACAGTATTTTAGCACACACAAAGCACTAAATAAAATGCTGCATTATCAGGTTTGGGGCTCAGTATGATCCGCATCTAACACAGCTAAAATAGCGAAGGAAAGGAAGAAATGTTTCAGGAGTGAATAAGGATAATGATGAACACATTAGTTTAGGAAACTGGAGTATGGCTCAAGATTTCAAAATATACTTCAGTGCTAAGCACCCAGAGACAAAAATATCTCTTTGAAGGTTCAGACACCAGTCCAAAACAAAAAGGATTATATATCTCAGTCTTTATGGAAGTCACTGTATTTGAAAAAAAGAGATAAGTATGTGAGCCAGGGACTAAGGAAAAATCAACAGGTCATAGAGTACAGGGACTTTGACCAATGAAAGAAAAAAGCCAGACTAATTCTTTTCTTTTGAACTTGCATATTTTCGAGAGTAGTAAAGAAATGAATGGAAATACAAGTTTCTGTCAGGAGAACTAGTTTGCCATGAGAAAATATATTTTATGTGACATGTGGAATCTAAAGAGATAGTGATAGCAATCTACTCATGTTGAGATATCCAATGAGCAAAAGAAAACCCAAGACTGGCTCTAAAATGAAAGATGAGTATTGATTTAATTATAATTCATAAAAGAGAAATGTAAGTCAGTGGTTTTACATCTTTCTCTCTCCCTGTATATATGTATTTTTAAGCAGCAGAAATGGCTTCCTTTTTCCAAATGCAATATAACATGAAACCCCAGTATGTTAAAAATATAGGTATAGGGCTATCTACTTTAAAGGTGGATGAAGCCATCCTTAATAAGCTTCCTTTGTAGCTCCTGAGACAATTCTGAGAAATCTTAGTGCTCTGCACACAGTATGAAACTCACTGGTTAAACTCCAGGAAGAAAATACATGAGATACAAAAGGACCTAGAGCTGGCCCTTGGGAAATACTCATATTTAGGGCATCATACAAAAAACTAATGAAGAAAACAGAAGAGGAAGAGTTAGGAGTAGGGGAGCATGATCGGGTGATACAGAAGCTGTAAGGTGAGAGTTCCAAACAGAATGATCAGTAACATTAACTACTACAGAGAAACTAAGAATAATGACATTATTGCATATTAATCTTAATTATAGATATAAGCTTAATGTAACTGATCTTGACAATACATATCTTGCTTTGTATTTTACATTGTTTTGAAATAAAAAGGATATGATGGTAAGACAACTTTCAAAAATATCAATGTTCTTTTTTAACATTTTTTTTTAAGTCTTAAAATTTTAGTAGAATTTGTGCATTCCTCTTTCAGGAAAAGGTTTTTTCAGGTCATGTATATAGTGGTCTGATTATTCTCTCAATGACAGAATAAAAACTGTGTTATCCCACACAAGTTAAATAATTATTTTCTTTCCAAGTCCTCCCAACATCTAAAAAGACTGCAGAATTCTTAGACACAAATATTTTAACTCTGGACTAACCTTTGAGTTCCTGGTGATAAATATACGATAGAAGGGCTTTTTCAAGTGTGAAAATTATGAAGTAAGATTGTAAGGTAATAATTATAACCTCAAAGTCCTTTTATTTCATTTTAAGTAGGCTCCATGCCCAACTTGGGGCTTGAACTCGGACCCTGACATCAAGAGTAGCACATTTTATCAACTGAGCCAGCTAGCTGTCCCTGTAATCTCAAATTCTTGTAGTCACACTTTATATCATCAACTGACAGTTCTAGATTCTTTTCATTGTTTCTACAACTCACCTTCCATTTGTCATTCACCCTGGTCTCTGTAGCAGTCTAAACTGTCAATCACACCCTAGTTTCTTGACATTGTCTCTTCTGTGGCCTTCATGGCTTTGCCCCAGGCTGGTTCTTTAACCTTCTTTATTCTCTGTCTTCTACTGATTTCTGTTCTTTCTCATCAATAAATGAACTCATCCCTGCAAGTTCTCTGCTAGCACTCTGATATTATCAATCTACACTTTCTGCCCTGGAAATTTTTTCTGCTGTCACGACTACAAATATTTCTTCTATGAGCAAGATTTTCATATCTAAAACCAGAGGATTATTGATTTCTATGAAGTGCCCATTTACACTGCTGCCTAATGGCCATCTATGTATACTGTGTGTATGGTATGTATAAGCACACCTAAAATTAACGTGTCTAAAATCTGGAAAAACTAATTTTATTCTAGCATTCTTTAGTCTAGGGTTAGCCTTCTTTTTTGATTTTTCTTTTATGCTCAGATTCTTACTTTAAAAATTTTATGGGGCGCCTGGGTGGCGCAGTCGGTTAAGCGTCCGACTTCAGCCAGGTCACGATCT